CATAAAAGTAATTTCAAATGTAGGAAAAAAAGTTTTACTTAATTATCTTCGTTTCCTGGTTTGAACTGACCAACTTTGCATCTTTCACGGGCTTTATCAAAGAAGCCACCAGCACAAGAGTACATTTCATTTTAAGTGGGCTTTAGTTGGTGGACTTAAAACTGATCATGCATTTTAGTTTCAGTAACTTGCAATTTCTGCACTCTTTGATAATGCACTTTAAAGAGCAAACGTTCTTTAATGACAAGGTTTAAAAGAAACGACATTTCTGAACAAAATATCAAAGCTGAGAAAAGACAGTTCTTTTTAAAAAAAAGAAAGAAAGAAAGTACGAATTAAAATGACCTTGTGTTCTGAAACTTTTTCATATGATACTTGATGTTCTATCTTCCCTTTCTACCATCAGAATGAGACGTAGTAAAATTAATTAGTGCCTAGTGCCTTCAGTGAATTGTGATTTGCATTAAGATAATTTTAAAAAGTCAGATCCCTGCTACATTCTCTATTAAGACTGCTTATCACTGGGTTTGATGGTGGGTGGGGGTTCTATCCCTTTTCTTCCAACTTTGAGAGAAATAAACATTTGTTACATGTATCACAAGAACTGTAAGCGGCAGTGAAACAAAGTTTCACCTTGATAAGGGCAAGGACTCCCTCACCACTGGTGAATGATTTGATGTCTCTTTTAAAAAAAATTATTTGTGTGATTTTTTAAACAGAATTAAACAGTCATCTTTCTACTGCAACAAATCAGTAAAATAATAATGCACAAATAGAGCCGTAATCAAGCCACAAAGAAGCCTGCTTTGTTACAGCTTGTTTACGGTGTGGTGAAATCAGCCACTTTCAGCTGACAAGTCTTTTGCCAGCAGGTGAAACTGGGGTAGAGGGTCTTGACTAGCCAGTCAGCAGTAAGAGTTACAGCCGTGAAACCAACTGTTACCTGATAGTTAATCACATCCCGGTGTGATACCTCTTGATCATATACCAATTACAGCGAAGGCACAAACCTCAACTTTTTTTTAAATGTAAGAAATGTTTTAAAAATTATAGCAATTCATTTTATGGGGTGAACCCCAGGACCTGGTTTAGTTTACCCTTGGCCTCCACAGTACTTTCTCCATGAGGGGAGATCATCTCAATTCTGAAACACGCAAATTGACCAAGCTCTGCTTTTCTCGCTCGTTCTTAAACTGTTTGTTGAGATCATCACTGACATTAGCAACCCATTTCCTTCGTACATAATGAAATTCAGATCTGCATTCAGTCTACTCAGGGATCCATGTGCAACGGAGCTTATGTGCATTAGTTTGGCTACTCCACTGATTTCAAGAGCCCTAGAACCACTCTAATAGGTGCAAAAATATTAGCAGCATGCTAATCATCAGAAACATCTCATTTCACTTGTGCTTGGGAAAAGAGGTTTCATCACATAGATGCTTCTATCTCAGACCCAACACAAAGCAATTTACAAAAGCTAATCCACTCAGTTCATAATCTGCAACTCAGTGAACTCTTGAAATTTCTTCTGAAGAGTTGAATTAATGTTGCCGTACGTCTTTCTGAGTAAACAGTTTTTAATTTTTCTACCCACAACAAATTAAATGTATCTTGGCACATCACTCCTAGTAAAACACACCATCGCCCAAGGCAGGGCTTAGTGGCACCTGTTGCATCACTTCTCTGATTATCTGAGAGCTATGAAGAACCTTTATCCATAAGCAGTGGGATCACTAATTCAGTGTTTCCCAAACTTGGGACGCCGCTTGCGTAGGGAAAGCCCCTGGCGGGCCGGGCCAGTTTGTTTACCTGCTGCGTCTGCAGGTTCGGCCGTTCGCCGCTCCAGGCCAATGGGAGCTGCTGGAAGCGGCGTGGGCCGAGGGACGTACTGGACGCACAGGCCAGGACCAGCCTCCCAATTAACAAAGCACCAAGCAAAGGTGGAGAGGTGATGTGTGGGAAGAGAGGGTGAAATCTGGCAGAAAGTTGCCTCTCCCAATGGTCCTGCTGCCAAGAGGTGGGGGTGGGTATAATCTGGTCTGCCAACAAGTTTCCTCCCTCATTTATCTAGATGCCAGAAGGGAGAGGATACTGGAGCAGCCTGTGAGCTGGGGGCTCAGCATGGATGCCACAGTGCCCCTAGAGGTCAGCTGCATCGCTGTTGCTTAACAACACAGGCCTTTTCATCATCAAATCTCTTTACAAATAGCAATACACCGGACCCTCGCTAGAACGGGTGTCTATATAGCGCGAATTCACATATAACGCGGTCGCGGCCATGGATCCCAAATTTAATTACTTTAATTGCAATTCATTTTAATGCGGTACCGCGCATGGATCCCAAATCCCACGTTCTAGCGAGGGTCCAGTGTACATTAATGCTTACACCACCATTCTGAGGAAGGTATCTAAGGATTATCATCACCATTTATCACTGACAGGGAGAAGTTCAATAACTTGCCCAAGGCCATTGTCAGTAAATTCTTGTCTCCGTATCCTGTGCCCAGACCACTAACTGTGTCATTTTTGCCAGAGGTACACAGAGGAAAAAACAGCTGGTTTCTTATATTCCCCACTTCTCAGTTTGTGGATTAAAACTAGCTAGTAATGGCCATTCTTGAACAATATGAACAACAGAAAAGAAGAACCCAAGCTTAGAAGGTGATGGGTGCCTCCAGGTAGGTGCTGTGTGCTCTCAGCTCCCATTGCTTTCAATGCCTCAGAGCCTGTAAACCCTTAGGCACCTGCTAGGATTTAAGCACATGGGTAGCCCGAGTGACTTCAATGGGACTACTCAGATACTTAAAGTTAAGCACATATGTTTTTGCAGACTAGGGGCCTTATTTGCCTTTTATCTTTTCAAAATACACCATATAATTCAATGCGTTTTCATAGTAAAGAACCCTGTCCTGTGGCTGCCTCGTCCAAGTAATGCCCACTGATGGCCCTTAAAGGCCATTAATCAGAATAGTGACTGGAGGCAGCACTTGTGTGAAGTTTCCGAAGTCAGAAGAGGATTTTTCCCCATGAATACATCACGGTATGTAAAACTCTCACAAACACCATGCCTATTTCAGCAAATGAAATGTTCAGGGACCACAAACAATGTCAAAACAAAAAAGTACAAAATAATATTTTAATATTATGTAAAGATATGAACATGAAAACAATGTAAAATATGTTTTAAAAATATTGAATAATAATAATAATAATAGAAACATGATTTTATCATGTATAAAATTGAATAAAAATGATATTAGGAAGTAATAGCAAAACCAATAGTCGAGGGAATTTAGTTTCGCAATAAGTAAATTGAGCACACACACAAACACACTTAGTATACCAAAATTGTAAATCTGTAATAAGATAATGGTAAAAAATAATTCAAGTAAGATACAACTCAAAAAATACTGGCATGAAGGATGGATGTGCTTTCATGAGCTTAATTACATTTTCTGTGCTAACAAAACAGCCACTGATCTCACAGTTTAATTTACAAGATCCAAATCTTCAAACCTGCTGAAAGATGTCCATTTGTCACTTGAACAATTTCCTCTGCTCCAGCAGTTACCTAAAAATTAAAATGCTCTCCTTAGTTATATCTTACTATTATTTGTATTAGAAAGTGCTCATAGGCACGAAACAGGATCTAGCCCCTTTATGCTACGTATTAAACACACATATATTACTGCACTGAAAAGCTTATCAGGTATTCCCAAACACTGCACAACATTAACGAAGACGGGTCTGCTAATGAATCAGTGTGAAGATAATACTCCCCCCCCCCACCTTCCCAAATAAGCATGAATTTAGTCCTTGTGAAAGATTCTGGCCTGGTCCTCTGTTAATCACAGAACAGCCTGTAGCAGTACAAGCTTCTCCAAACTAGACTGCTAATGTGGCTTAGCCTTAGGTATATCTATTGGAATACAATGGTAAAGTTAATTTTCCTACCCTTCTCTTCTATTAAGAATGGCACTAACGTCATTACACATAAGCCACATTCAACTTTTGGTCAGTATTGACCTGGATCTAAACCTATGACTGGATCTATATACCATTATCAGTCTCTTAGCCAGCTAGTACTCTGTGTGAAGACACTGACTGACTGGCTCAGTGGAAACTTTTGGGCCAAAAGCATTGCTGTGTAATTCCATTGCTCTCCATGGAGATATGTTGGGGATAAATCAATACATTGAATCAATATGTTTATCTGACAATGTCTCCTATAATACAAAATCTCAGGGAGAAAATATGAACACACACAGACACACACACACACACCCCTGTACATATTTTATCACCACTCTCAGCTACAAATATACAAAATGTTAAAAAGTCCTTTTAAGATTCATATTTTCAGACTAGTTTTTATATCTTACATGGTTTTCATTAAAATATCTGCTGTTTATATGTGCACATCCTGTTCTTTGCAGAAATCCTGATGTGAGATATACAATTATCAATGAACCCTATAAGGACAAAAAACCTCAATGACCTTGCTTGGAAGTTTCCTTTTTCCCAATCATCCATGTGAATCATTTACTCTAAGGGCACAGAGAATCTTTTTATTGCTGTTGCAACACTTGTAGTCATTTATTTTGGATGGTGTACAGCTCTGAAACAAATCTAAAGCTCATGAAGATCCTGTACTTTGAATCTGTGAGCGGTAATATTCAGAATTGCATCATCGTTTTCTCTGTTTAAAAGGCGGCAGCATCACCGCAGACCTGCAGCTGTGCACTGTGCCCCTGTCTCATGAACATGGAGGCAAAGCCCAGACTTGTATTGCACCTGCAAGTTCTCTAATCTTGCTCTAATAGTACTGACTAAGCAGTGTGGTTAGAAGAGCTGGGTGACGTCTCAAAGACAGCTTGTTTACTGAAAATAAGGTTCTTTTTAAACTGCAACCATATGTAAGCATTTTAATTAAGCTGTAAAACTTCAATAGCTGAGACCCACAGGTGTGAAATGGTACAAATTGATGAGAAGATACTCATTTACCTTCTGGTGTGGTACACATTCAGTTCTTCTTGTAGGACAGATGCTCTCTTCTGCAGAAAGTTTACCTACAAAACACATCCCATATGAAAGTGGTGTATAAAATCTTAATGAATCAATTGGTACTTATTTCACAGAGACTGACTTTACTGTCTAAAGCCCAGTTTACACTAGAGAAACCTCAATAGCACCTTAGTCGTGAGCTGGATTTAAGCATGATGCTTGACTGCAAGTTGCTAGTGTGGTTTCCCTGGCCTGTGTACCCACAGCATTAATCCTGCACCCTATCCACTCAGTCAGGAGCCAAGGCAGCCACGAAAACTTTTTGGACTCAGAGCTATACTGGATAATGTAGCATGTGGACTAAACATGGGACTGAGAATCTGAGTTCTAATCCCAGCTCTGACGCTAAATCAGTTCACTTCTCTACCTCAGTTTCCTCATCTGAAATATGGTGAAAACACTATTCCACTTTCTCACAGGGTGTGTGAGAGAATTAATGCTTATATTATGTAGCACTACCATGTTAGAATAGCTTACAAAGAGCTCATGGGGGTGTGCAGTGAACAATTGTGGCAATGCATTTTAAACTTTACTAAAGTTTTAGAAAACTTTGCTGAGCGGTGAATATTTGTTCATTTTTAACAGTTCTTGGTCCGTCACCCCGGAACAATTAATAATCCTGACAGGTGCAAGGATTCCACTGCCGTTCTCCTCTGATGTTTTCAAACTGGAATTTCAACAATTTTCAAAGACGAGGACACCTGTGCTTCAGAAGAGAACCCTGCTTACTGAATGGTTTGTGACTACCATATATTGCTGCAAATGAAGCCGGCAGCTACGTGTTTCTGCATTAACACCCAGTTTTAAGAGTCTGGAGTTACTTTTAGTCCTTTGAAATGCTGCTGATCCAAAAGAAGCCCTGCAGGGGTATATCAGTTTCAATTTTAAAAAACAAAACTCACTGTAAGGTGAAGTATTCTTATATCTGTCCCAATGGAATGCTTCCTACCAGACAAAGTTAACAGTAAACCATACTTTTAAATGGCCTTTTACTATCAACTGGAAATAGATCATCCTGGTAGATCCTTAACCCTTTATTGGTCTGCATGACTTTAATCAGAATAAATATCACTACCACTGGAAATTCCTTTACATGCAATAAATAAATATCTGCAATCGTAACTATTAACTTGTGTCACCTTTAGCATGTGGGAATATAAAGCTCTCTCTTTTGGAAATTTCATATTTCTGTTAAAGACAGACATTGCTAAGGGAAATTTCCATGCATAGCAAAAAATGTTACAAACTAACCTTTATGCATTATAAACAGAGAATGTACGTAAATTAAACTAACAACCATTTCCAGGGAGAGAGATGGACATGGAGAGTGTGTATATCTATATCAGCTTGTAAGTGTTTCTTGGAAATTGATGTGGGTCTATTTAATATCTTATGTACCAAAAAATATGACTTAGTTTCATGATTTTAAGTAACGACCTCATTTCAAACAATATTTTACCAAATAAATCCAAGCCAAAAAAACGTTGACTTCTGCATGAAAAAACTAACTCTCTTAACATCTCAGATACCAGTTTAACCTTTCATTCCCCTCTCCCCCCCAAAACCTTTGGCATTTCATGAACATATGGCATGTCTTGGCATTTCAAATGATTCCACGTGGATCATGAATGGCTCCTGAAGGATTCTGCTCCCCAGAGTGGAGTTTGTACATCACATCACCACAATACACAGCATACATTTATAATATCAAAGAAATGTAAGGTGGAAAGGATCTAGAAGTCATCTAGTCCACCCCTCACGCTTAAGACAGGATCTAATATACCTATCATGATTTAGTTGGGGATTGGTCCTGCTTTGAGCAGGGGGTTGGACTAGATGACCTCCTGAGGTCCCTTCCAACCCTGATATTCTATGATTCTATGACCATCCCAGACAGTTGTTTGTCTAACCTGCTCTTAAAAACCTCCAAGATTTGGGATCCACTATCTCCCTTTGTACTCTATTCCAGTACTTAGGATGTTTTTCTTAATATCCAACCTAAATCTCCCTTGCTGCAGATTAAGCCCACTACTTCTTGTCCTACCTTCAGTGGACATGGAGAACAATTGATCACAGTCTTCTTTATAACATATTTGAAGACTTATCTGGTCCCCCCTGTCTTCTTTTCTCAGGACTAAATGTGCCCAGTTTTTAAAATCTTTCCTCAAAGGTCAGGTTTTCTAAACCTTTAATTATTTTTGTTGCTCTCCTCTGGACTCTCTCAAGTTTGTCCACGTGTTTCGTAAAGTACGGCACCCAGAATTGGATACTATTCCAGCTGAGGCCTCACCAGTGCCTAGTAGAGTGGAACAATTACCTCCCATGTCTTACATACAACATTCCTATGAATACAGCCCAGAATATTAGCCTTATTTGCAACTGCATTACATCAGTGACTCATATTCAATTTGTCATTCACTATAGCCCCTAAGTCCTTTTCAGCAGTACTATTTTCTACCCAGCTATTGTGCATTTTCCTTCCTAAATGCAGTACTTTGCACTTGTCTTTATTGAATGTCATCTTGTTTAATTTGTTAAGTTAATTTTGAAATCTAATCCTGTTCTCCAAAGTACTAGCAACCTCTCCCATCTTGGTGTCATCCACAAATTTCATATGTATACTCTCCACTCCATTAACCAAGTCATTAATGAAAATATTGAATTCTACCGGACCCAGGATTGACCCCTGCGGGACTGCACTAGATACACCTTCCCCTTTAGACAGTGAACCATGGTTAATTACTCTGATTATGGTCTTTCAACCAGTTCTGCAACACTCCGTACAGTAATTTCATCTAGATCACATTTCTCTTATTTGCTTATGAAAATGTCATGTGGGGCTGTGTCAAAAGCCTTACTAAAATCAAGATATATCACATCTACTGCTTCCAAACTATCCACTAGGCCAGTAGCCCTACCAAAGGGGTAAGTTTTTTTTTTTTTAAACATAATCAGTCATTGATTTAAGAAAGTGACATTTAACAATTTGTCTTCATCTTTACTATTCTTACTTCTAGTGCTGCCATTCAGATTAATTTACAGTTTCATAGATTTTAAGACAAGAAGGAACCAACTAGTTTTATCTAACACAACACAGATCATAGGATTTCCTGAGTTAATTCCTGCTTAAAATCCAAACCAAAATGTTGTGTGTACCAAATCAAATGTCTTCGTCAATATATTATATCAACACTATTACTTTTATCAACCAAACTTGGAATTAATACAATGGGCTTTTGAGGCAGTACCTGAAAAAGCAAAGGGCTGCTTTATTATGCAGGCTGCAAAGGAAACAAAGATTCCACCAGTGCATGTTGAACACAACTTCTTCTGAAGAAACACTGATAATAGACAGTTGCTAACCATACCCTGTCTTCAGCAGCATATTCTTGAGAAAAAAAGTAACAGTTGCAACATCACTGCTGACTTTATTTTCTACTTTCAGCAGGCATTTGAGGTAAATCGCTTGGCTCAAGAGAGATGACTCTTTACCTAGCGAGATGAGGGATCTGGGGAGAGGGGGATCCTAGAAGAAAGGTGATGGTGTGATAAGCACTGGACTCTTGCCAGTTTATCATTGGACCTCAATCCAATATTGCCAAATTTATTGCATTCATAGTGTCCTTTATAAAAGAGATGAGTGTTATTTAAACCCTAGAATTGGAGACAATTGAGTGCTGATATCTTACCTGAGATTTTAAAGATGCAATGGTGTCTTCGAGTTCCTTTCTCAAAGATGCTGGCATCAGACCTTTGAGTTTGGTTTCATATTCTTGTCGTATGTATGTCACCTGAAATTGAATAAAGAGATTTAAATGACTCATAACCAATTTGGGGGGGCAGGAGAGAATCTTCACAGTCAGCTTCTTCTTAGAGCAGTGTTTCCCAATTTGGATGCCAGAACAAGACTAATTTGGGGGTCGGGGGCAAGGGAGGATCAGTATGGATGAAGAAAGCTGTAAGAATGCAGATCCACCCACCACCATCGCACACAGACACTGCAAGCATGCTCCCACCTTTGCAGGTAAAGTGGTAGGCAGCTCCTTAATGTCACCCACCTTCCCTCTCTGCTCCTGCTGTGCCCTTTATGCAACCAGCTATAGTTCTCATTACTCAGCTCAGCTTTGTATGGCACCAGTTACCATCCCCAGGGCCATGCAGAATTCTGGTGAGTGGGAGAACAGGGAGCAGGTTCTGCTGTACTGGCGGATGGGTGGGTGGGGAGCAAGGAGAGGAGAAAGTGTTCTCCAAAACATGTAAAAGAGCAAAAGAGGATAAAGAAGAAAACAAGTAGACAGAAAAGAAAAGAAGGAAAATGAGGGAAGCTAGAAAAGGAGTGAGGAGAAAATGGGCAGGAAAAGGAGACATGGTAGGTCTTTAAGGTGCCACCAGACTCCTTGTTGTTTTTGTAGATACAGACTAACACGGCTACCCCCTGATACGAGACATGGTAGGGGCTCTGTTAAGACATGGTGTGAGAGGAGAAAGGAAGGGCCATGCGGCTATCTCCCTCTAATCCGTCCATGGGAAGCTTTAATAAAAGCAAGGCTGGGGACTGGGCAGAGGGCCTGATGCAGTAGCCACTGAAGTCAATGGGAGCCTTCCTGCTGACTTCAATGGGCGTTAGCTCAGGCCCAGAGGCATTGCTTGTATCTCACGCCTAATATACGAGACAAAATAACTCTGTATCCAGAATTTTTTTCAAAACACTTTGAAGTTAAGAAGTTTTGTAAGGAGGAACATTTTGTGTCCATGGATGTAACTAAATTTTATTTACAGCTTGGCATTTCTTGGACTTCATTCAAGGACGATTAATGCCCTCCAGCTAAATGATGCAGTCAGAATAGTTTAATGGCTTGTCAATCCCCATCTAGATATTTTGAGCATCTTGTCTTACTTATTATGACACGGAAAATTTGCAAGACATTCCTTGCCCTCTTCACAGCTCATTTTTCAGTCAAATTCACTGCAGCAGAGTAAAAATTGTTGATCTACTATTTTTCTAACTAAGCTCTAAAAGTATTAACTTGAGTAGGACCAAAACCTGTCTCTTGAAATGATTATTCTCTTTTAAAGTAATTTCTAAGCACATTATCTGACACTACAGCAATCTCCATATGCTTTTGCTTTCTGCTTGACCTTTCCCTTTTGGCTGCAATGAATTCAAGACCCTGTTGGAGATTCAAATGCTGAAAGAGATTTCTAAAATGTTTGGACTTGGAATGACTCTGTGAGCACCTTCAAAAGACCAATGTGTGATCTCCTTATACATGATTATGGGTATATATCAAGGAAATATTACCACCCTAGCAGCTCATCCCTGTATACGCTTAAAAATATCACTAGAAAGTTATGTCTCCATTCTAACTATATAGAGAATCATGAATTGATTTTTGTCTACCTAAATGATCACCAGTCACTGAGGGATGGATTCAATACCCATTGAAGTCAATGGAAGGACTCCTTATTGGCTTCAGTGGGCATTATATCAGGCCCTTTAAAAATGAAAAGGGTGTGTAACTCCCCAAAAGAAATAGCTGCAAGAGTGAAAAAAAATATTTGTAAACTTTCAAAAAGGTGGTGTGATAAATAAAGGCTGAGGTAAAGGAGTTCTGTACTATTTCGTTTGGGGTTTCTGACATAGATATGCATTGCTACCATGGCATCTTTGGAACCTACCAGCAGTGCCCGTATCTGTATGTCATATACACTTCAGGACTAATTTATACACGTTAAGGAAAGAGTATAACCAGCTGCAGTCATCATTTTCTAATTATTTTTATACTTAATTTCCCCCTCCTTTTAATTAGTATTTTAAACTATCCCCCACCTAAAACTGACTGGGAAAGGGCATTTCTAGAGGCTTGGTTGTAAGCAAAGCACGCAGGAGACCCATGAGACTCATGTCTCTCATTGCCTAGGCTGTGCTGCGCCGGTGCATTGTTTACATAATACTCTTGAGTCTCAGGGGAGTTTGGGGGATGATTGTTTTATCAAACAGTTCTGGAGCATTCGTACTTAAAGGCCATGAAACTGGATGGAGGGTTAAAGCAAGATGTCTTTGCAGATGTCTACAGTAAGGAGAAAAGTTTCAGGTGAATATAAATAATCACAGAATCACAGAACCATAGAACTGGAAGGGACCTCGAGAGGTCATCCAGCCCAGTCCCCTGCACTCGTGGCAGGACTAAATATTATCTAGCCCGTCCCTGACAGGTGTTTGTCCAACCTACTCTTAAAAATCTCCAATGACGGAGATTCCACAACCTCCCTAGGCAATTTATTTTAGTGCTTAACCACCCTGACAGCTAGGAAGTTTTTCCTAATGTCTAACCTGAACTGCCCTTGCTGCAATTTAAGCCCATTGCTTCTTGTCCTATCCTCAGAGATTAAGAAAAACAATTTTTCTTCTCTTCCTTGTAACAACCTTTTACGTACTTTAAAACTGTTATCATGTCCCTTCTCAGTCTTCTCTTTTCAAGACTAAACAAACCCAATTTTTTCAATCTTCCCTCACAGGTCATGTTTTCTAGACCTTTAATCATTTTTGTCACTCTTCTCTGGACTCTCTCCAATTTGTCCACATCCTTCCTGAAATGTGGCACCCAGAATTGGACACAATACTCCAGTTGAGGGCTAATCAGTGCAGAGTAGAGCAGAAGAATTACTTCTCGTGTCTTGCTTACAACACTCCCGCTAATATATCCCAGAAGGATGTTCACTTTTTTTGCAACAGCGTTTCACTGTTGACTCAGAGAATCTTGTTTGAAGTGTGTGTGTGTGTGTGTGCGCGTGTGTGTGAGAGAGAGATTTGTATTCTTTTAAAAATAAAATAACTTAGATACACTTATGCTATTATTTGTGAGAGTCTTTAAACATTATGAGGTATGTACTTTGCCAGGATAAATATTCTTTGAGCCAAGAGCTCATTTAGGGTGGAGTTCTGGATGCAGCAGAACATGCATATTTGTGTTCATTTAACATGTGTTATACATGTTCTTGGTGAGAGAGGAGAAGGAACAGACAGCTAGAACTGCTAAATTTTTTTTGGGGGGGGAAGTTAAGAAAAAATAAAAGCTATATTTCACCAATCAGGCAGATTGTGCTGGAGAGCTTTTCTGAGCTCATATCTAAAGATAATACAATAACGGTGAAATTCACATTCACATTACAAGCATGCACAAAGCTTGTAAAATTGGGGCTGCAAAGTCCAGGGAAAAGAATCCCATGGCCCCCACTCTGCAAACAAGCAGTGGGATGCCAGTCCAGTCCTTCTGTTACCATCATTTCAGCCTATGGGAACAGTGGCTGCAGAACCTCTATGTCTTTCATGTGAAAATTCCTGGTCACTAGATCCATGCAAGTGTGGCTACCCAGTTCTATTGCTAGTAGCCCTTTGCCACACTTGCATATTCCAAGACACCCTTCCATCGTGTGCAGGCCCCATTGCAGTGTCCCGTTCCCATCTGCATTGCCACACCATAGATATATTGTGTTGTGACTGGTCTTGCACTAGCCCACCGTGGGGTAAATTTCACCGTACTGATTGCTGGCAGCACTTAGGGCTAAAACCAGCATCGCCCCTGCAGCCAAACCAGCCATTCAGTCAATGGGAGTTTTAGATGTGTAAAGAAGGGTGGATCAGGCCCCTTAATATGTATTCTTCCTGTGCAATTTTTGGACGTCAAGTAAGTTTTATTCCAAATATGTGTAATGAAAACTTCAGGTAAGATATGGCTTTGTGAGTGCACTAATTATGGTCAAATTCTGCGACAGGCCTCTTCCCACCTGGTTATTTTTTACCAGTATAATCTTCAAGTGCAATCTAACGGCACGTTTTCACAAAACCGTTGTACACTTTTCACACTGTAATCCAGCAAAGGCTGAAGAGAGCTGTTCCCTTTTGAGGAAGATAATTCTTGGAAAGTCACAAAGAAATAAGTACCATGCTTTGGAATCCAGATACACAGTACTAAGTTGGCTGGAAGGAAATTCTTGAGTACTATTTAAAAAAAAAGAGAGAGACAGACAAAGCGAGAAACAATCCCTGGTAGCTGAAGGATTGATTGGGGCTGATTCTTAGAATGATTTCTTTCTGGACTTCAGTGAGAAGGTGCATGCACCATTTTGCAGTGAAAACTGATCTGCAAAATACTAGACCCTAATATCAAGGTGAAGAGGATCACCCAATAAATTCATCGCTAAGATAGTTTGTTGAAAGTATATTACTTTCAACTATATTCATTAATAATTGCACAATGGGATGAAAATAAGATCCCAGATGTTTCCTGTCACACTGTGCTAAATAACATGCTAATAGTTGTTGGCTGAAGTTACTAACAAGATATACTGACCCAAGAGATTTAAATAGATCATGGTGAAAGTCTAAATTACTTCTTCATAACTAACACACAACATATAGCTGGGTATGGTATACTAATTTTGATGGGGAGGGGGTCTATATTTTTAACATTTATTTTAGACCAAGGAAAACTATAACTGAAGAGTGTTTTTGTTTGGTTTGGATTTTTGTCCCTAAAGACTTGTTTGTTCTTTTATTGACTTGAGTCGCCTACCTAGGACCCACCAAAGCTCTGTCTCTATATCCTTAAGAGATGTTTAAAACTGCAATTCTTCATCCCTCAGGAGGGCTTTAGTCTGTTGGATGGGATAGCTCTGTTTTATTTGGTGTTGTGTTAGGTTTTCTTCAGCCATGAGAAAGCCTTTTTTCTTGTTCATTTTGATGAGCTGATTTAATCCAGCAACCCCCAGGAAAGGTATTATACGTTTT